GAATAGCTTAAAGCTGTGTTCGAATAGCTTAAGTTAAGCTTGACTATAACCAGTTGTGCTATGCTCGAGTAGCTCAAGTTAAGCTTAAGCTCGACTATAACCCTTTGCTCGAGTAGCTCAAGCTAAAGCTTTAGACTATATCAAGCTCACGTAGCTAAAATATGTATTAGAGGTGAAATACCCTTGACTTGTAGTCAATCCATCAGCTCAACTGGCTTATGTGCTGGCGCGTGACCTGGCGGTCCCATCACCACTGCCGGACATGTGGCCCCTTGATGTGACACTTTGGTTAGCCAAAGGCAACACGCGTGGCCTGGAAACAGACACCCCGCCGGCTCACTCCATAACCGTCAACCGACTCCTTCCATTCCCACTAATTTCAGTATATAAAAACCCCTCTTTTTTCTTCTTCTTCCTCTCGACTCTGCAACAACAATGGGCGAACACTCCCACAGCTTTCCATTGCCACACTCCCAAGCTCACCACAAAACTCCAAAAAACGAACCATCCAACAAATGCTTCATCTACATCTTCTCCTCCTTCGTCTTCCTCTGCGTCGCCCTTCTGATCTTCTCTCTCATCGTTCTGCGCGTTAATTCCCCGACCATCGACCTCTCTTCCATCTCCGTCCGCAAGTTTTCCATCTCTAATACTAATTCCTCTTCCTCCTCGCTTAATCTGACCTTGATTGCTGAATTCTCCCTTGATAATTCGAACTTCGGTCCCTTCATTTTCGATTACGTCACCGTCGTTTTCATGTACGGCGGCGTCATCGTCGGCGAAAGGAGTACTGGCGGGGGCAGGGCTGAGGCGAAGGGGACGACGAGGATGAACGTTTCTGTTGAAGCTTCTGTGGAGAATGTTAGCAGCGATTTGAATGGTTCGGGGATTTTGAATATGAGTAGCTTTGCGAAATTTGGAGGGAGAATTCATTTGATTCATGTTTTAAGAAAGAGGATTTGGTCGGAGATTAGTTGTTCCATTAATCTGGATTTGAACACTCATCAAATTCAGCCTCGTTGGGTTTGTGAGTGATTTAGAATCATAATTTTTGATGAACTCGAGAACCCTAATTACTCTATTTTTTGTGATATTATGTTCATTTAAATTTTTGTCAGAGATGATTAAAATCCATTAAAGACCTTAATTAATGGAAAAAATGAACCACCGTTTTATCATATCCCCTTTCACTTCTATGAAACCATTCCTTTCACAGCCCCACAAATCCCCTCATCCTCCTTCACCACCAACCGGAATCAATGGCGGCCGACGAAACATCTGGCGACCTGCCGGCGACACTCCGATCAAGGCGGAAAGCATCAGAAAAATACATCAATACCTCCTTCATTTACCTCTTCGCTCTCGCTTCCATCGCAGTAAAAGATCTGGCACTATGGCTTCTCGCCGACCCCTTCATTGCCATGGGAAAATTCGAATAGAGAGGTGTTAGATGAACACGACTCTCTACCCTAAATAGGATCATTCCCCAAAATACTTCATATAAATGGAAATGGAAAATGGAAAGAGCATTTTGGATTATAAATCCATGATTATTCTCTAAATTAATCGACGTGGGACTTTCATCAAACCGATTTGGGTGTGTTAGAATCGGCTAGGTGAAAAGGGTCGTCTGGGTATTAAAAAAAAGGAAGTTTATGGTGAAAGTGAAACTGAATCCGAGCTTGAAAAATGGTGGGATGTGACCAATGTTTTTTTTTTTGCCTAATTTTCTGTTCCCTTTTTCCACAGCAATTTTTCCAACCGTAATGACCTTGAAAAAGAAACCTACGATGTTAACCAAAAAAATCTTAATACCTTTTAATTTATAAAATTTCTTTAATTGCTTCATACATATTAATTTGACCTTACTAACTTTAATTAATCATGTATTATTTATTGCATTCTAAGACTTAATGTCACCATAACTTCAATTTGATTTATATCATTTTTAATTTTTTTAAAAAATTCGTTCTATATAATTTGGTCAAATATTTTAAACTAGAAAAAAAATAAAAACAAATAATAATTCAATAATATGAATAGATAGGTCTTAGATAACAACTAATATTAAATAGAAACGTAATTATTTTTTGTTTAGAAAATTCAATGCTAAATTGCCATAATTCTAAAATAAAAAAAATACCTAATTTTGTAATTTAAAATTATTTATATTCATATCCTTCTTGACGTACAAGTTATTCAAAGCTAATCGAGTCAACCTTTTGCCCAAATCAACACGCATTTTTGACAAACTAATTATTTTAAAAAACACTGACTTTTATAATTCAAAAATAAAAATGAATTTGAAATCCCAACAATTAAATACCCAACATATCCCTTCTTTTACGATCATTTCCCCCATAGCCATGGCCGAGAAAGACCAGGTCAAACCCTTGGCTTCACCCGCCACCCATCTCCGGAGCGACGACGATCAGTTTCTTCCCCCTCCGGCCAAGCTCCGCCTCCACAGGAACAAATACATCATGTGCTCCGGCTGCTTTGCCGCACTCCTCTTGATCCTCGCCGTTATCGGCATCGTCCTCGGCTTCACCGTCCTCCATATCAAAACCCCAGATCTCAAAATCGATAAGCTCTCGTTTTCAAATGCTACTTCAAGTAAGTTTAATGTTAGAAGAATTTGATTATGTCAAAAGTTAGAGTATTGTTAGATACTTAATTTAATTATTTGTGTGTTAGTTCAGTATTCAATATGATCATCCAAAATTCCAATTATTTATGTTTCTCGCTTAGTTATTGTATTTAAATGAATTTTAATAATTCACCGTTTTTCTTTCTTAGATGGCGGCGTAATCATTGTGGTCAGTGTCTTCGTGCGAAATCCTAATGTCGCGTCGTTCAAATACTTAAAAGCCACGACGGTGATTTACTACCATGACAAGATGATCGGAGAGGGAGAGACGCCGGGGGGAGAGGCGAAGGCAAAGGACACGATGACGATGAATGTGACGATGGAGATCAAGGCGGAGGAAATGGATGAGGGTTTGAGTTTGATGGAGGATTTGAAGTCAGGAGGTTTGAATATCAGTAGCTACACGGAAATCCCAGGAAGGGTCAAAATAATTGGATTCATCAGAAAAAGGTTTGAGGTTAAAATGGAGTGCTCATTCACTTACAATGCTAAAACCCAAACAATTGAAAGGGAAGATTGTGATCAACATGTAAAAATGTCTGATTAATGAAGGATTATGGGAGGAATTTGAAACGACATGACTACTAAGTTCATAGTTTTGGATTATGAGGAGTATTAAAATTTATAATTACAGGACGGTGGTTAGTTATTCATTTTGTGGAATATATTACTTTTTTACTTTGCTTATGTAATTATTTAGTACGTTGGATCAATACTGAATTTGTTTGATCACGAGTGAGTGTGACTCCCAAACCTTTGTAACGACTCATGTCTATGGTCATGTTACTTACTCTTTGTTTCTTAAAAAGTGAAAACTATTCCCACAAACTAACTCGAGTTCTTACGACACGTTTTGTTCTTACTCGTATGCACCCTAGAAAATTTTTCAAAAGGTCACGTGCAATATAGAATTGCTTGAAGCAAAATGTACGTAACCATAAAGTTCTAATAATTGAGCTATTAGTAAGGAGAGTGAATCTTATTGGTATAGGTAGTAACTTTCCATTTTCGAAAGTCTTTCTAAACTATCATATCCTCAGGATCTCTCTCATTCAGACGTGGTTTCGGTTTATTCATGTACCCCTCATTTGCTCGAGTGTCACATACCTACCAACTTTCGCATTAGTTTGTTTTCAAACCACATCTTACTGGGAGAGATACTGCTCTAATACAATTTGTAATGTCTCATGCCCAGGATTCAGAGTCATCAGGTGACGAATCTAGATTACAAATCTTGATCTATCCTAGACAGATGCGTTACAATTTTGGTAGACCCTAAGAGATTGGTCAAACATTTTAGAATGACCCATTAATCCAAAACCAGTTCGGTGTGTTGGGTCATCCCTCCTAAAGTTGGCCTAAGTTTAACGTCATGACTTTTTAAACTTCACATTAACTAGCTATCGAGAAAAAAAGAAAAAGAAAAAGAAATTGTTTGAAAAAAGAAGGCTAGATGGACAATTTATTATTTTATCGGTGGGGACAAAAATTATAGACTTCATTTTTTCTCCTTCCAGAGAATCAAATTCAAAAGGTGACGTTTTTAAAGGGAGGACATTGAGGCTCATAATATAAGTTCTTACCAAACTATACATCGAATAGCCAAACTACACGTCGAATTGTTTACGATCAAAAAGACAAAGCCGTCTAAACTTATTTATTATATGCTTTGAACGTTCGAATATTTTACTTTCTAAAAATATATATATATATACACACATATATACATATATACACATACTAGCTTGTGCCTGTCATGTTTAAATCTTTTTTAACTATGCAATTTGAGACGGACAGTCATTATTATTAAGTAAGGGCATAAACGACTCACGTTACTTAGTATATTCGAGGCCATGATCTAAATAAATAAAATATTTTAAATAATTTTATTACATTTTTTTAAAATTAGATAATTGAGATGTTAACTATTTTTATTTTTATTAATTTAGATTATTAAAATATGATTTATTAAGTGAAAAAATCTCTTCTACTAAAAAGAAATGGAGTAGGATATTATATAAGAACTTACCATAAACCTAGTTAGTTACTATTTTTATTTTTAATTTGGGATGGAAATAAGCTTTGAGTTTTAGTTTAAAAAAAAAAAGGCGATAATATTAAAATATTGATTCTGTGGGCGAGATATTTATGAACCATTACCAAATGAGTTTTAGCTTTGTTAGAATATTGTGTTTATTACTCAACAAATTACCAAATGAGCTAAGAAAAAATGGAAGGAGTTTTGATATTTGATCTTGTGAACAAATTTCAACCTATTAAAGAGATATATAAGCAACTTTTGAGTTATGCTTCTCTCACCCGGATTCATAAAAGAGAAAAAAAAATGGGAAGAACTTTTCAAATAGTTATTTTTCTAGCATTGTTTGTGTTTTTATCTCCTTCTGTTTATTCTTTACCGTTGTCAACAAAAGGAAGGTGGATCATTGATTCGACAACAGGGCGTCGAGTGAAGCTTGTGTGTGTGAATTGGCCTTCCCACACACAGAGCATGCTAATAGAAGGTCTCAACCACAGGCCATTAAAAGAGCTAGCAGATGAGGCAATCAAGTTGAGGTTTAATTGTGTACGACTCACGTATGCAACTCAAATGTTCACTCGTTATGCAAATAGGACAGTTGAAGAGAATTTTGACCTTCTTGATTTAGAGACAGCAAAAGCTGGATTGGCTCAAAATAATCCTTTTGTGTTGAACAAGACTATTGCTGAAGCTTATGAAGCCGTTGTTGATGTGCTTGGAGAGAGTGGTTTAATGGTGATTGCTGACAACCATATTAGCCAACCAAGATGGTGTTGCTCTCTTGACGATGGCAATGGTTTCTTTGGAGACCGCTATTTTGACCCTCAAGAATGGCTACAAGGTCTTAGCTTAGTTGCTCAACGCTTTTCCAAGAAATCAACGGTTCGTAAGCATTAAGGAAAATTCTCAAACTCTTACCGACTTCTAAAATTTTTCATTAACAATTTTTGTTTTTTTTGTAACATTTAGGTGGTTGGAATGAGCCTACGTAATGAGATACGAGGAACCAATGAAAATGCAAATGATTGGAACAATTATGTTACTCAAGGAGTAACAACAATCCACAACATTAACCCAAATGTTTTAGTGATTGTTTCGGGCCTAAATTATGATAATGATCTTCGATGCTTAAAAGAGAAGCCCTTGAATGTAAGCACCTTAGACAACAAGTTGGTTTTTGAGGTGCACTTGTATTCGTTCAGTGGAGATTCAGAGAGTAAATTTATAAACCAGCCACTAAATAATATTTGTGCAAATATTATCAATGGCTTTGTAGACCATGCTGAATTCGTAACGGAAGGATCAAACCCATTTCCTTTGTTCGTCAGCGAATATGGGTATGATCAGAGAGAGGTTAACGATGCAGAAAACCGCTTCATGAGTTGCTTCACAGCTCATCTTGCACAAAAAGATTTAGATTGGGCATTATGGACTTGGCAAGGTAGCTATTATTACAGGGAAGGTCAAGCAGAGCCGGGAGAAACTTTTGGAGTTCTCGACTCCAATTGGACTCAAATTAAAAATCCTAACTTTGTCCAGAAGTTTCAACTATTGCAGACTATGTTACAAGGTAAGTATAAATATATTAACGATTTTGAACATATGAATCTATAGTAAGTGTATAAGAAATTCTTTTATGGTGCACAGATCCAAATTCCAATGCATCGTTTTCGTATGTTATATATCATCCACAAAGTGGCCAATGCATCCAAGTCTCAAATGACAACAAAGATATTTTCATGGGTAATTGCTCCATCTCAAGTCGATGGACTCATGACAATGATAGCACTCCAATTAGGATGTCGAGCACTAGTTTATGCTTAAAAACCAGCGGAGAAGGTCTTATGCCATCTCTCTCAATAGATTGCTTAGGCCCACAGAGTTCTTGGAGCGCCATTTCAAACACTAAGCTTCATTTGGCCACCATAGCTCCAAATGGGAAAAGTCTTTGCTTGCAGGTCGAAAGCTCTAATTCTTCAAAAATTGTGACAAACTCATGTATTTGCACTAATGGTGCTCCAAATTGCCTCCAAGACACCCGAAGTCAATGGTTTGAACTTGTTAAAACCAACGCATTGTGAGTTGCTTATGTATTCCGAAGAATAAATATATGACAGGCCCAACTTTGAATGGGCCCCTATTTTATCTCTAATTTTATTCATACATATTACAAATTAAATAATAATATTACAAATTAAATAATAATATTACAAATTAAATAATAATATTACAAATTAAATAATAATATTACAAATTAAATAATAATATTACAAATTAAATAATAATATCGTATAAAAGATTGGACATATAATCAATAATAGAAAAAGTTTATTGGTCGTTCAACTGCGATTTTAAGCATAAAATCGACAACCCTAATATAACCTAGGCATTTACAAAACTTTCATGTCAGCCATGACTGGATATTATTGACCAAATTCTAAATTCCTGTTAAAAACTAACAAATAAACTAAGCAACGTTGGTTGGAACGAGCTTGAACCATTGACTCTGAGGATCATCCATGCAACTCTCCGCGTCTAGACAAATACATTTCTTCACAACAATTGAAGTATCAGATTCCTTCTCCAAGCAAAAACTGTCTTCGCCAACTTTTGTGGACAATTGGAGCTTTGCTTTGGAAGCCACCGTCCAATTGTATTCGTCACCGGAGCAGTCGGTGGATACGATTGGCGATTTGCCATCTCCTGCGGACTTCAAACACTGCCCGTTTGACAACAACTTCATCGGACTTGCATCTCCACTATGGTTCCATTGGGTTGGAGTGGCACAATCGCCAAGTTCAATTCCTCCTTTGCCGTCAGATTTGACACATTGCCCAGACACGGGATGTAATATTATGTATGACATTGGTGCTTTAGAATTTAGATCTACAAAAATAAGAGCTTTAGTTTCAAATTCTAACTAAAGAAATATATAAATGCATGATATGTTAAAATTAACCTTGATTCACTCTCTTGATAAGTTGAAGCATCTGTTTAAGTTTTGGGTTTCGATCTTTAGTCCAAGAGTGATCCATAACACCGAAACTTTCATCAGGATCTTCATGACCCTGTCTATACATATAACTTCCTTGGAATGCCCATAAGGCCCAATCAATATCCTTCTCGGCAATTCGAGCCAAAAAGCAGCTCATGAACCGATTCTCAGCCTCGTTGCCCCCTGATTGATCATACCCAAATTCACTAATGAACAAAGGATAAGGATTCTTCATGTCCACTACGAACCCAGCTTCCCGTTCAAACTTCTCCATGATTTCGTTGCATATTATGTTTAATGGCTTTTTCACAAATTTGCTTTCGTTATCCCCACTAAACGAGTAGAGATGTGCTTCCAACACTACTTTGTTCTGAAAGGTATAGCCTAGTGGCCTTTTCTTTAGTTGACTTAAATCATTGTCATAGTTTAATCCAGAAATGATTATGAGAAGATTCGGGTTTATTCTATGGATTAGTTGGCTTCCTCTTCTCATGTAATAGCACCAAGCATCATTGTTTGTAAATGGCCCTCGAAGCTCGTTTCTTAGACTCATTCCTACCACCTTTTACAAAGAAAAAGAGAAAATTAGAATACGATATACATATTATAGAAATGTTCCCGTTAAAATGCACAAAACTCACATGTGGATTACAAGTGAATTGCGCAGCAACAAATGACAGGCCTTGAAGCCATTCATTAGGGTTGAAATTGCGATCTCCAAAGAAACCATTGCCATCATCGAGAGAGCAGCACCACCTCGGCTGACTAATATGATTATCTAAAATAACCATGATGCCTTCCGAGCCCAAACAATTAATAACCATTTGAAACGCCTTAGCAATAGTCATTTTCAATATCTCAGGGTTGTGCTTTGCAACTCCACTCTTGACATCAGCAATATCTAGACCATCTAAAACATCACCAACACACTCATATGCATAACGAGTAAACATATGAACAGACCAAGTCAATCGAACACAATTGAATTGGCGACTAGTGATCTCAGACGCCAACTCTTTCAATGGACGCTTGTCGAGTCCTTGAGCAACCATGGACTGTGCATGTGATACCAAATTGACACAACTCAACTTCACACGATCACCTGTTCGAGCATCTATAATCCATCTTCCACTAGTGGAGAGAGGCAAGGATTGAGAAAAGGCGAACAAAGAAAAAAGAATTAAAGAAATTAGAGAGAGTGAGTTTGCCATTGTGGGAAGGTAGAAGTGAGAAGTACAAGTAATGGAGTGGTAAGAAGGTTGTATTTATAGGGATGAGAAAGAGAAGGTCGGAGGGTTGTTTTATTTCTTGATTGGATTAACTAATTTTATTTATTTATTTATTGTTTTTACTTTCTATTTATAGTTGGAGTTGAAGGTAACGGTTTCAAAAATTGACATTAACTTCTAACATATAAATTTTCAAAATGAAGATATTAATAGAAACTTGAATAAGTTTTAATTAATTAATTCAGATTGCAAAAAAGTAATAAGTAAATAAGTTATAATTTTAGTTTAACAACATTTGGTAAGAGGTTGAGTATTTAATGTTTATATTAAGTTATTTAGTGGAAACATATTTGTGGAAAGAGAAGGAATTTGTCCACTTCATCAAATGACCAAACTACCCTCTTCTTTCATAAATTACTAAATTACACTCACCTTTTATTATGGTAACTAGGGTTGTACACGATTGGGTATATCCATAGCAAATGACCAAACTACCAAATTATACTCATCTTTCATCATGGTAACTCGGGTTGTACACAATTTGGCACATCTACTTCAACAAATGACTAAATTACTCTCACCTTTCGTCATGGTAACATGGAAGGTAGGTTTAGTTCAATTATAACTTTATTTATTTATTATTATTTTGTTTATTTATTTATTTATTTATTTATTTTTGCCTATCCATTTCCATTTGAATTTATTATTACTATTATTTTTGCTAAGTTTATTATTATTATTATTAAAAAAAAATGCTTTTAGCTTTATAATTCAATAATAACTTATTATCATCCCTAATCCAATTTAAATACCAAACCAAAAACCACTTTTTATTACCACCGAAGAGAACTAAATTTTTGTAGAAAAAATTGGTTATTTTTCTAGCTTTTTAACTCTTTAGATTTTCTTATGTTTGTGTTTGTTTCTTTTTTTAATTATTTTTTTCGTAGGAGATCTATCTCACATCCATAACTCATCCCTAGTGCCTATAGGTAGTTTTAGACCGGTATCTTTTGAATTAGATAGTATGGCTCGTAATAATCTATCTTCGGGAGCATACGATGATTCTTTCGCCATATGAGACGTTAATTTACCTACTAAAATATCGCCCCCACATCACAATTCTAGAGTAATGAGCGTTTGCTAAAATATAGAATAAGGATATAGAAACAAGAACCAATCCCAACAAAAAAGCAGAATAAATGAAGTTATTAAATAATAGTACTCCCGTACTTCCTAAAATAAGACTTGAGCCCAACAAGACTACAATCATATATCGGTCAAGGCAAATTTATTATATGTAGTGAAAAATAGAGATAAAAAAAAATCTAAATGTTTATGTTTTTCATGACCTTATTGATCTGATGGAACCCCCATCTCACGTAGTTGCTAGAATGGAATTAGTCAGGCTTCGAGCCCTATCTCGATCGCCCATTGAGCTTTACAAGAATTTCAATTTAAATACAAACATCAAAATTATCAAAAAAAAAAAAAAAAAAAAAAAAAAAAAAAAAAAAAAAAAAAAAAAAAAAAAAAAAAAAAAAAAAAAAAAAAAAAAAAAAAAAAAAAAAAAAAAAAAAAAAAAAAAAAAAAAAAAAAAAAAAAAAAAAAAAAAAAAAAAAACCATTCATTAAACATAGATTGAGCTTGAAAAGCTTAATCTGACATGATTCTACACTTTTTCAATGGAAAATTTTAATTATGCCTAAAACACTGACCATTGTGTAAATATCCTATTTTAATTTTTTTTCTTTTAATTTTTTTCTTGACATCTATTTTAGCTCAAATTATGTGTTCATTTAAATAAAAAGGAAAAGATGAGTATGAAAAGATCATTGAGATTATTGATCAATACGATTTAAGAACAAAATTCCAAATGGACATAGACACTAAAACCGAATTCTAAATTCCTATTAAAAACAAACAAATAAACTAAGCAACATTGGTTGGAACAAGCTTGAACCATTGACTCTGAGGATCATCCATGCAACTCTCCGCATCTAGACAAACACATTTCTTCACAACAATTGAAGTTTCAGATTCCTTCTCCAAGCAAAAACTCTCTTCGCCAACTTTTGTGGACAATTGGAGCTTTGCTTTGGAAGCTACTGTCCAATTGTATTCATCACCGGAGCAGTTAGTGGATACGATTGGCGATTTTCCATCTCCCGCGGACTTCAAACACTGCCCGTTTGACAACAACTTCATCGGACTTGCATCTCCACTATGGTTCCATTGGGTTGGAGTGGCACAATCGCCGAGTTCAATTCCTCCTTTGCCGTCGGATTTGACACATTGTCCTGATACCGGATGTAGCATTATGTATGACATTGGTGCATTAGAATTTAGATCTGCAAAAATATGAGCTTTAGTTTCAATATTCTAACCAAAGATATATATTAAATGTTTGATATGAAGCAACAAATTAACCTTGATTCACTCTCTTGATAAGTTGAAGCATTTGTTTAAGTTTTGGGTTACGATCTTTAGTCCAAGAGTGATCCATAACACCAAAACTTTCATCAGGATCAACATGACCCTGTCTATACATATAACTTCCTTGGAACGCCCACAAGGCCCAATCAATATCCTTCTCGGCAATTCGAGCCAAAAAGCAGCTCATGAACCGATTCTCAGCCTCGTTGCTCCCCGATTGATCATACCCAAATTCACTAATGAACAAAGGATAAGGATTCTTCATGTCCACCACGAACCCAGCTTCCCGTTCAAACTTCTCCATGATTTCGTTGCATATTATGTTTAATGGCTTCTTCACAAATTTGCTTTCGTTATCCCCACTAAACGAGTAGAGATGTGCTTCCAACACTACTTTGTTCTGAAAGGTATAGCCTAGTGGCCTTTTCTTTAGTTGACTTAAATCATTGCCATAGTTCAATCCAGAAATGATTATGAGAAGATTCGGGTTTATTCTATGGATTAGTTGGCTTCCTCTTCTCATGTAATAGCACCAAGCATCATTGTTTGTAAATGGCCCTCGAAGCTCGTTTCTTAGACTCATTCCTACCACCTTTTACAAAGAAAAAGAGAAAATTAGAATACGATATACATATTATAGAAATGTTCCCGTTAAAATGCACAAAACTCACATGTGGATTACAAGTGAATTGCGCAGCAACAAATGACAAGCCTTGAAGCCATTCATTAGGGTTGAAATTGCGATCTCCAAAGAAACCATTGCCATCATCGAGAGAGCAGCACCACCTCGGCTGACTAATATGATTATCTAAAATAACCATGATGCCTTCCGAGCCCAAACAATTAATAACGGTTTGAAACGCCTTAGCAACAGTCATTTTCAATATCTCAGGGTTGTGCTTTGCAACTCCACTCTTGACATCAGCAATATCTAGACCATCTAAAACATCACCAACACACTCATATGCATAACGAGTAAACATATGAACGGACCAAGTCAATCGAACGCAATTGAATTTGCGACTAGAGATCTCAGACACCAACTCTTTCAATGGACGCTTGTCGAGTCCTTGAGCAACCATGGACTGTGTATGCGATACCAAATTGACACAACTCAACTTCACACGATCTCCTGTTCGAGCATCTACAATCCATCTTCCACTAGTGGAAAGAGGCAAGGATTGAGAAAAAGCGAACAAAGAAAAAATGATTAAAGAAATTAGAGAGAGTGAGTTTGCCATTGTGGGAAAGTAGAAGTGAAAAGTACGAGTAACGAAGTGGTAAGAAGATTGTATTTATAGGAAGTAGAAAGAGAAGGGCGGAGGGTTGTTTTATTTCTTGATTCGATTAACCAATTTTATTTATTTATTTACTTTCTATTTATAGTTGGAGTTGAAGGTAACGGTTTCAAAAATGGACATTAACTTCTCACATATAAATTTTCAAAACGAGATATTAATAGAAACTTGCGAATAATATAATTTAAGATTTGAATAAAATAAATAAGTTATAATTTTAGTTTAAGAGATTGAGTATTTAATCACATTAGCTAAGTTTATATTGACTTGATTGTAAGTTATTTAGTGGAAACATATTTGTGGAAAGAGAGAATTTGTTGTTTTAACCAGAACTCATACTCTAAACACACCTACTTCGACTAATGACCAAATTACCCTCATCTTTCGCGTTAAATGAACAAATTACACTCACCTTTCATTACGGTAACTAGTGTAGTTAAATGACCAAATTACACTCACCTTTCATTTTGGTAACTAGGGTTGTACACGATTTGGCATATCCACTTTGGCAAATGACCAAACTACCAAATTACACTCACCTTTCATCATGGTAACTCGGGTTCTACACGATTTGGCACATCTACTTCAACAAATGACCAAATTACTCTCATTTTTCGTCATGGTAACTAGGAAGGTAGGTTTAGTTCAATTGTAACTTTATTTATTTATTTATTATTATTATTATTATTATTATTATTTGCTTATTTATTTATTATTATTATTATTGCCTATCCATTCCCATTGGAATTTATTATTATTATTATTTTTGCTAAGTTTATTATTATTATTAAAAAAAATGCTTTTAGCTTTATAATTCAATAATAACTTATTTATCGGTCTATGCAGTATTGGTTCGAATCGATTTTTCAAGCTTACTCTATAGATTTTCTTTCGGGTTTTATGTTAATGTTATCAATTCACTGTTTCTTTTTTTAATTATTGTTTTTTTTTTACTTTTTTTTGTTATTGTTTTTTTTTAACTTTGTTAGGAAATTATGTTTTTATTTATTAGTTTATGTTTTTTTTTAATTATTGTATTGTTTTTTTTAAACTTTGTTTGGAAATTATGTTTTTGTTTATTAGTTTTATGTTTTTTTTAAATTATTGTTATTGTTTTTTTTTAACTTTGTTTGGAAATTATGTTTTTCTTTATACGTTTTATGCTTCTTTTTTTTTTTAATTATTGTTTTATTTTTTATTTTCAACTTTGTTTGTTATTGTTTTTTTTTTAATTATTGTTATTGTTTTTTTTAAACTTTGTTTGGAAATTATGTTTTTCTTTATACGTTTTATGCTTTTTTTTTTAAATTATTGTTTTATTTTTTATTTTTAACTTTGTTTGTTATTGATTTTTCCAAACTTTGTTTGGAAATTATGTTTTTGTTTATTAGTTTTATGCTTTTTTATCTCCTAGTATGGCTTCTAATAATCTATTTTTGAAGTAGATACTTGAATGCTTAGTATGACTTGTAATTATCTATTTTTGTCTAAATTTCAGAATAAAATATAGAATAAAGATATAGAAACAAGAAAATCATGTATTGGTCCAAGCAAATCCGTTTTATATAGTAAAAAAAGAGATAAAAAAATCTAAATATTTATGTTCTTCATGACCTTATTGATCTGACCAGGAAAAAAAAAAAGGATAATCAATGGAACCCCCATCCCCCATCTCACTGCGGTTGCTAGAATGGAATTAGTTGAGACTTCGAGCAGCCCTATCTCGATCGTCCATTGAGCTTTACAAGAATTTAGATTTAAATACAAACATCAAAATTATCAAAAAAAAAAAAAAAAAAAACCATTCATTAAACTTAGATTGAGCTTAAAAAGCTCTCCACATGAATTTTTTTTTTTAATTAGGCCTAAAACACTAACATTTTGTAAATATCCTATTTTCACATTTTTTTTTTTCTTGGCATCTATTTTATCTCTATGTTCATTTAAATAAATAGGAACAGTTTTGGTACGAAAAGATCATTGAGATTATTGATCAATACGATTTAAGAACAAAATCGACAACTCAAAGATACTCTTAACCTAGCCCCTACAAAATTCCAAATCCAATGCTGTAAAACCCTAAATTCCTATTAAAAACGAACAAATAAACTAAGCAACATTGGTTGGAACAAGCTTGAACCATTGACTCTGAGGATCATCCATGCAACTCTCCGCGTCTAGACAAATACATTTCTTCACAACAATTGAAGTTTCAGATTCCTTCTCCAAGCAAAAACTCTCTTCGCCAACTTTTGTGGACAATTGGAGCTTTGCTTTGGAAGCCACCGTCCAATTGTATTCGTCACCGGAGCAATCAATGGATACGATTGGCGATTTTCCATCTCCCGCGGACTTCAAACACTGCCCGTTTGACAACAACTTCATCGGACTTGCATCTCCACTATGGTTCCATTGGGTTGGAGTGGCACAATCGCCGAGTTCAATTCCTCCTTTGCCGTCGGATTTGACACATTGCCCTGATACCGGATGTAGCATTATGTATGACATTGGTGCATTAGAATTTAGATCTGCAAAAATATGAGCTTTAGTTTCAATATTCTAACCAAAGATATATATTAAATGTTTGATATGAAGCAACAAATTAACCTTGATTCACTCTCTTGATAAGTTGAAGCATTTGTTTAAGTTTTGGGTTACGATCTTTAGTCCAAGAGTGATCCATAACACCAAAACTTTCATCAGGATCAACATGACCTTGTCTATACATATAACTTCCTTGGAACGCCCACAAGGCCCAATCAATATCCTTCTCGGCAATTCGAGCCAAAAAGCAACTCATGAACCGATTCTCAGCCTCGTTGCCCCCTGATTGATTATACCCAAATTCACTAATGAACAAAGGATAAGGATTCTTCATGTCCACTACGAACCCAGCTTCCCGTTCAAACTTCTCCATGATTTCGTTGCATATTATGTTTAATGGCTTTTTCACAAACTTGCTTTCGTTATCCCCACTAAACGAATAGAGATGTGCTTCCAACACTACTTTGTTCTGAAAGGTATAGCCTAGTGGCCTTTTCTTTAGTTGACTTAAATCATTGCCATAGTTTAATCCAGAAATGATTATGAGAAGATTTGGGTTTATTCTATGGATTAGTTGGCTTCCTCTTCTCATGTAATAGCACCAAGCATCATTGTTTGTAAATGGCCCTCGAAGCTCGTTTCTTAGACTCATTCCTACCACCTTTTACAAAGAAAAAGAGAAAATTAGAATACGATATACATATTATAGAAAGATTCCCGTTAAAATGCATAAAACTCACATGTGGATTACAAGTGAATTGCGCAGCAACAAATGACAAGCCTTGAAGCCATTCATTAGGGTTGAAATTGCGATCTCCAAAGAAACCATTGCCATCATCAAGAGAGCAGCACCACCTCGGCTGACTAATATGATTATCTAAAATAACCATGATGCCTTCTGAGCCCAAACAATTAATAACGGTTTGAAACGCCTTAGCAACAGTCATTTTCAATATCTCAGGGTTGTGCTTTGCAACTCCACTCTTGACATCAGCAATATCTAGACCATCTAAGACATCACCAACACACTCATATGCATAACGAGTAAACATATGAACAGACCAAGTCAATCGAACACAATTGAATTGGCGATTAGTGATCTCAGACGCCAACTCTTTCAATGGACGCTTGTCGAGTCCTTGAGCAACCATGGACTGTGTATGCGATACCAAATTGACACAACTCAACTTCACACGATCTCCTGTTCGGGCATCTACAATCCATCTTCCACTAGTGGAAAGAGGCAAGGATTGAGAAAAAGCGAACAAAGAAAAAATGATTAAAGAAATTAGATATTGTGATTTTGCCATTGTGCTTAAAGTACGAGGAATAAAGGGCAATGAAGTGATCTATTTATAGAGAGTAGATAGAGAATTTGAAGAAGATATGGTATACTATTTTTTGTTTTTATTTTTTATTTTTTATTTTTCTACATTCATAATTTTTTGGATTTGAAAACCAAATTTATAGCATTTTTCAGTTTTGATTTCATTTATTTTCCTTTGCTTTCTATTTATAGTTTGTGCTACGTTTGAAATGAAGCCCACTAGTCAATGTGTGATGTGGGCTACAATTATTTTCTTGACATATCGAGGAGTATAAAAGACATGCATTATTTTCATTATAAGTCTCTCTCCGGATGTATCAATTATATATATATATATAGAGGTGAGCATGCAAGTGAAATCTCATAGAAAAGAACTTGATTACTATTTTAAGTTATTTTCAAACTTCATATCAAATGCATTGATCTAATCAAATATTAGACGAACGAACGACGAACATTTGATCCTGTATGGTTATTATTATTATTATTTGGGCGTGAGAATTCAACCATTAATTTATAAACTAATATATGAATTAAAAACTAAAATGTCTCTATTCTATTACGTTAAAATAATATTTGTTTGTAGTTAAAATCAAAGACTTTTAAAACCAATTAAAAAAAAATAGTTTTTTAAAAAGAAAATAGGAGAGTTTTGGATCCTTGTTAGAAAAAGAATCATGAACGTCAGTACAAACCACGTGGCAGCAGATAAAAACAAGGAAGGAGATTTAATTTAATAAATAAAAAAGGGTCCAGTTAGAGGTGGTGGAAGTCACGTGGGGAGCCTTGTGGTTTGAATTTTGTACGTGATTCTTTTCATTAAAAATAATAATAAAAAGCGTGACGTGTTCGAATCGCAATGGATTTCTTAATGGAGTCTTCTTTGTGGCTATCAACGCAAAACCTAAAAATGAAATGATGGTGGGGCTCTAAATCTGGCCCGCCCTGGTTTTCAACGGCTCAGATGCTTCTTCTAGATTCATCCATTATTCATTGACACACAGCAACGGAATCGCACCCTGCTCTGGGCTTGTGGATTTAGCGGAACACGGACAAAAAAGGGGTTTTCAGTTTTCATTTTGATCCGTTTTTTCTCACTTCCTGAACGGTTGCAAGTGATTTTTGGGATCTGTTGTAGCTTGTTCTTGGTGATTCTGGCAGCCATGACGGAGCATCACGAGCACCAGCATGAGGAGCCCAAAGCCGAGTCGTTGATTGACAAGATTGCCGAGAAGATTCACGCTCATGATTCCTCTTCTTCCGATTCCGAGGATGATAAGGGGAGTGCTTCTGCTACTATCAAATCTAAGATTTATCGCCTCTTCGGCAGGGAAAGGCCCGTCCACAAGGTTTTTGGTGGTGGGAAACGTGAGTAATTCTCATTATTTTGTTTTCAGAGTTTGCTCTCATCTCCTTCTTATGGTGGAAATTCTGTGACTGGTTTTCGTGTTTCGATTTCAGTGTCTCGGTTTGATTTGTTTACTTCTAAGTGGATTTACTGTTTGAAGAAATTTCTGGATGTTGAATTTGGATTATCTTTGAATTTCTTCTTTTTCTATTGAAATTATTTGCTTCCGTTGTGGATCGGATATCTCACAGGGGAACTTTCAGCTGAGTTTCATAGATCTAGATCTATTTACAGTTCTGGCTAAGGCTTTTAAGTCGATCCTGTTTCATTCTCCAATACTTGTTCTACAATGCTCTATTTCTTGGATTTTCAATTTCGGGATGCGAGATTGCAAGATATTATCTTTTGCTTGATTTCTTTAGCATGGTGTCAATTGTTCTTTTACAAAATTGAACTACGAACTTCAAACCATTCGAGAATTGTCGAGTAATAATCCTCTTCCTGTTCCATGGTAGCACGAAAATCACTTTGGGTTAAGAAAATTTTGATGTTATACAAAGTCATTTTTTCGGTGATGTATCTCATTATCATTGTTTTCCCTCCTTTATCCCAATCTCTTCTCTTCAGCGGCTGATATCTTCCTGTGGAGAAACAAAAAGGTCTCCGGTGGAGTTCTAGGAGGAGCCACAGTTGCATGGATTTTGTTTGAGCTGCTTGAGTATCACTTTCTGACATTGATTTGCCACATTTTGATGGCTGCTCTTGCAGTAGTGTTTTTGTGGTCTAATGCTTCTTTCTTCATTAACAAGTATGTTTTTCTAGCTTGCCATTCAATTCATCTTTTGAATGTTTGCTTAGCCGCTGTCTATGGCTGACACCTTTTCCGCACAGGTCTCTGCCACACATCCCTCAAGTTCACATTCCAGAGGGGCCAGTTAAAGAGATTGCCTCTGCTTTGAGAGTTGAGATCAATAGGGCCATCGCTGTGTTGAGAGAAATTGCATCAGGAAGAGATCTGAAGAGCTTTCTTTCTGTATGTTAACTTCTACCTCTTGGAATCTTGTTCATAAAGGCAGTTACTAAATTTAAGAAACCATCTCATGAAAATTAAGCTTATGTTATACGGTTTTATCTTAAGAACTCATACTCTCATAATTTTGTCTGCTAGGCAATTGCTGGTTTGTGGGTTCTGTCCATTGTAGGAAGTTGGTTCAACTTCCTTACCCTGCTATATATTGGTGAGGAAGTTGTTACTTAATTAGTTGTGAATACCCATTAGTCTTGTCCATTTTAGTGACGTTTGTTGTGCAATCAAATATGTAACAGGAGTTATTTTGCTCTTCACTGTGCCTGTGTTCTACGAGAAATACGACGACAAGGTTGATTCGTATGCAGAGAAGGCAATGGCAGAGCTGAAGAAGCAGTATGCAGTGTTTGATGCGAAAGTGTTGTCTAAAATCCCAAGAGGACCACTGAAGGACAAGAAGATTGCTTGAGGAGGCGATGTCCGGAGTGTTGTGGTGGTAGCAGGTCCTGTTTTTTATCAAACTCTATGAACTTGGTAGGCTTTTTGTCGTTGGCGTTCTGAAGTTTCATCCATGAAAGAATCTGTTTTTTAGTTGTGTTCTCATCAGTGGGGTTGGCAATGTGGACTAATTTGTGGATTGCTGATAATACACATGATTTTGGTACACTATTTAATGGCCCTGTTTTATATGTTAAGCCTTAGTGAAGCACAATTTGATAGGTTTGATTGATGATATAAAGTGAGTGTTCCATTCTGGTTGGGCTATTAGTGATGTGATGTGCAGGGATAAGAATGTTGTGAGATCTTCCATGGATCCTTCATTCTACAAGCATTTCATAATTTTTTTTTTTTTTTTTTTTGTATTATTATAATTTTAATTTTTTTTATGGAATACTAATGGATGATTTAGTTATTAAGACAATTCTTGTTATTTCAAATATTTTCTGGAACTTTTTAATATCTATGCTATGCTTTTAATATTTATAAAAAATAAAGGTCAAAATACTCTTTTCTTTTGTCCGTGTACTTCAGAATTTGTTCGATATCAATGTACTTTTAATAAATTTTAAAATTTTACTGATAACTTTTTCATTTAAACAAAAAGTGGGACCCCTACGACTTTTATATATAATATTTGAAAATATCTCTTATCTCTTTTTATATTGAAATATTAATATTCTAATCATTTTAGTTGTCTTAACTAAATTGGTCGAAGGTAATTAAATTACTATGATGGTGATGGTGATATTGTATTGATTACAATATGTCTAAGTAATGTGTTTGTCGAGAATAAGTAATGTGTTTGTCGAGAATAAGTAATGTGTTCGTCGAGAGAGTCAAACTTGAGTCTAATATTTGGAAGACAATTATACTTAGTACGAACATTGTTAGGAGAGATTAGGAGAGATGTAAGAAAATAGGAGAAAAAAAAAAGAATTATTTTGCAAAAGTAATGCGTTTGTCAGGAGTCGAACCCAGGTCTATTGCTTGGAAGGCAATTATCCTAACCATTGGACTACAAACGCTGTTGGAAGCCAAGTTGATGTAATGCATTTGCCGAGCTTTAACAAAAATAAAATAGGAGGAAAGAAAATAAGGAATTATTTTGCAAATGTAATGCGTTTGCAGGGAGTCGAACCCGGGTCTATTGCTTGGAAGGCAATTATCCTAACCGTTGGACTACAAACGCCAAGCCAAAAAAAGTGCATTTGCAGAGCTTTAACAAAAAAAAAAAAAA